AACTCACCTCGAAAGTAGCTGCTGAAGTCTGCTTGCTAAGCGTCTAACTGCTGGATCGCAAATCCTCAGGCTATAAACCATAAACATAGGTTAGACACCCATAAATACCCTTAGGTCAAGAGACTGACCCACCCTTGGCCTAAGGTCAACTCCTTGGTCAAAGTCAATGTCCATTTGACTGGACTCGCCGAGTCTTTTTCCTACTAACCCAATCCTACTCAACCAGTCCTTCTTCCCACTCACTGAATCACCCTTAACTCATGACTTGGGACGATTGAACCGACACGTGACCCGACTCGCCGAGTTTAAAGAACAACTCGCCGAGTTCCAGGCAATCTGCATAGGACTCGCCGAGTTGTTCATCCAACTCGCTGTGTCTACTGCCATCTTCATGGAACTCGCCGAGTTCCTCCTTGGGATCTCCGAGTCCCTATGACCTATTTCCCATACTGATCGATTTTGAAACATGCAACGCTTCCAAATCATAGATCCATGTTCCTTGAGCATGCTTATCACATAAAGTTGCAAACTTTACGTGCATGCATGGTCCTATAAGCTCAAAAGGCCAAAACCAAACTCTTGAAGAGGTCATAGACTCAATGGGGACCTCAATCACTTCAACCACACGAACTTTATGCTACGAATTCATCCAATAAGTCCAAATCAGAAGTCCTTTCGGATCATTAAGCACCACATATGGAGTTTGGTGTTTTAGGTCTTGAAAACCACCAATTTGGGACAAAAATGGTAACTAATGATCTAAAGATCAAGGTAGAGACTTTTCTACCTGAATGGAAACTTCTCCCTGAGTAAAGTTCGGATCTACTCCTTTTCTTGCACTCTTCAACCACCTCTTTCTTCTTCTAAGCTCCAACCTCCTTCACAAGGCCAAAAACACTCTTAAGAACAATATGGGGGGCTAGGGTCTCGCTCTACTGCTCTCTGGAAGTGTTAGGGACAAAGGAGGCCAAGATAGAGTGTTTAAGTAGGGTGCAAACACCCGGATTAGGGTTTTTGCCCAACCAGGGCCTATTTGCCGAGTCCGGGGACCGAATCGCCGAGTCCAAAGTCCAACTCCCTCACCTTGTCCCACTCCTACTCAGCGAGTTGGACCATCAACTCGGCAAGTCCAAGGAAAAATATATTATTTTAAGAAAGTAGATAGCAAGGAGTACGTACCAGGAACCAGGTGCTGCAGATACTTCCAGGAATATGTGGTCAAAGACTTTGCAATGCCTTGATAGTTATTCATGTATCCAACATAATGTATCTTAGGCTTGATTCAAAGTGAACACATTAATTACAAATAGTTGAAATATCTTGTTAAGAAAATGATTCAATTAAATGAAACCTTGTTACATTATGCATCCTTTCAAACAACAAAATTTTACCATATATATATATATATATATATATATATATATATATATATATATATATATATATATATATATATATATATATATATATATATATATATATATATATATATATATAATATTTCCAACAACTATTGTGTACATCTAAGAGCCAATCAGAATTTAAAAAAAAAAATCATTAATAAATCATAAAAGGGTTTAATAGTAATCAATGCGCTTGATTATATGGAAATTCCTAATATGTTGGACCAATTCTCCTTAAATCATATTGCTCTGCATCTCAAAAACCTACTCCACCAATTGATCATGTCTGCAACAATTCTCCCCCTTCAATTGATTATCAGTGAATCCTCTATATAAGTAGATAAAGATCTTTAATCTGATTGGTGAAATCGATGAAAAGGAAGGTTTGGTTGTCTATGCTTCTCTAGATAACTTTGCACGAACTAGAGAAATCAAGAAGTAAAGAAACGATTACCCTTAGATAAGCATATGAAGTTCTTTAATCCGATTTCAAAATTTTCATAGCATCACTTATCAGTCCATGTGATTTTTGAATTATGAAGACAAAAAAATGTATTTCTAATTTCTCCCTTACCTAATCTCTATCATTCCTGATTTATGGATACAAAATCAGTGGTCTAATTTCTCTAATTCTTTGAGTTCGAAGTTTGCTTTAGGAGGTATTTTCTATAGTCTGAATTGCTGAAAAATTAGAGTTCTTACTTTCAATCTATGTATCTTTTTTAGGTATACGGTTTAATCTGATTTCTTATTTTTATCCATTCAGGAAGTACAATTTTCGGTCATCCAACCCTTCTGGAGGAACAATTTTCAGTCATTTAGGAGGTTATAATGTTCAACCTAAGGTTTTATTTCATGTCTGTTTTTTCTGTTTTAGCCATTTATGAGCTTTGTTTGTCAACCATTCAATCAGTAGGTAAAACATAAAGAACATTTAATATGGTTTAGCATTATTGTAGAATGCATTTTATGGTTTTTTAGTTGAAATTGATTTTCACATAATCGATTTTTTGAAATCAAAATCGAAACTTGAAATCGTCTGAAAAATCAAGATTTTGATGAATCTATGCTTTATTAAACTTGTAATTCCCGGTAAGATACCATTAGTGTTTGATTTTTATTTTTTTCCTCTCTAGCAATCTATAAAAAAGCCCAACTGGTGTTGTTTTTTAGAGGAAATTAGTGTATTATGATGTGAAAGTTGAGTATGAGATGTGAATCGATTTGTGTGTATTCTATAATAATTTATTTATATAATCCCATCCTGTCATAATGTTGTTAACAACAAGTATATTTTCTTACCTGGTAATAATAACTAGTAATGAATGTTATTCTTTCAGATTGCATTCAAGAAGGAATCAAATATTGATCATACAAGAGAAAGACATGGAATGGAGTTCAAAAACAAGTATCTTTGTGAAAAATTACATTCTTATGATAATACATCACATTTTTGTAAGAATAGTTGGAATCAAGTTAATTACTAGGGCTATTAAAGAAGATCAAGCGCATTTGTTCAATAATTGTATATTTAACAATGCAATTTTGTAAGAATTTTATTCATTTTCTATGATATTTTGTTTGAATATATGTAATTATATTAAAATGTATAAGGTTGTTATCCTGTAAGAATATGTATAAGGTTGTTATTCTATAGGAATGTTGTTATTATTCAATTAGGAGATCAAAAAAATGATTTTTTTAACAATATTCTAATAGAACACCATTCTAATAGAATCATAGAACATCAATGTAACAAAATAATATTCTGATGGAATAAAACCGGTGCATGCTTACAAATTACGTTTGAAATTTAATTAATTAAAAAACTCAATTTTTTTTTTTTTAAATTAAGAGCATTAATTATCCCCTAAATCTCAAATTTTACCTTTTAAAATTTGTCTTAATTAACTAAAATACCATTATAATGAATTTAGATAGTATTTTGGTATTATCTTTAATTTAATAATATTTATTAGTCACTTACTTAAAATAACTCAAATGATTGGTCCACAATCAAGCATACAGTCATACAATACTTATAGAAAACACAATAACCTAACCTTATATATATATATATATATATATATATATATATATATATATATATATATATATATATATATATATATATACACACACACACACACACGCACACTACTATCAACATTTATCATTAGATATATACGTATAAACATGTATAATTATATATGATTATATCTCTCTGCCATATAACCATTTATGATTCGGCATACATGCGTTGTTACCGGTATGTTGAAACGTTTGTGCGGCAAATGAGAAATATATGGGTAAGGTTAAATGTAAATATCTCTATTTTTTTTAATCTCAAGTGAATCGTCCCTTATATATATATATATATATATATATATATATATATATATATATATATATATATATATATATATATATATATATATATATATATATATATGGGTGAGATCGGTTGAGAACTCATAGTTTTTCGAGAACCCGCGAACCAAAAGTGGAACGTTAGATCAAAACTAATTTATTAAGGGTATGATCGTCGTCTTATCAATCTCATTTAATGTTTAATTTTTTGTGTTACTGCAAATTTTAATATAAATGTCTAAAATTTTACATAATAAATCAAAATTTTGGATTTTTTTAAAAATAGTATTTTTCAATTTAAAAAAAAAGTGTAGATTTTTTAATTTTTTTTTATAGAAAACATGAAGTTTTGAAAAAAAAATTGAAAAAAATATATATTTAAAAAAAAAAAAACTTCTGTTTTTTTTAAGCATTTAAAAATCAAAAAATTTAAAAAGTATAAAAAAAAAACTAGTATATTTAAAAAATACAATAATTTTTTAACCAAAAAAATCAACATTTTAAGTACATATATGCTGCATATTTTTACGAATGCATATATGCATATTTAATATACACTAATATTTGTATGGAAATCATATAGAAACTGATTTTATTTATTCATTTATAAACACAGTAGAATAAATATTTTATTCGATACAAAATAAAATATGAAAAACAAAATAATGCTATAAAATTTCAAAGCATTTTCATGTCCTATGTAAATATTTCCATATTTTCTTCAATTTATCATGTTTCACCTCTTCAATATTCACCATAATTTCTTCCAAATCTACAAAAAAATTAAAAAAAATTGATTGATGGAAAAACACTCACGAAAATACATATGTGATTTATATGTGATTAACATATGAATTGCATGCGATTCACATATGAATCACATTTATATATGACATCATATGTGAATTACATTTGATTTTCATATGTATCACATGTGATTCGTATGTGAATCACATATGATTTACATGTGAATCACATATGATTTACATGTGTACCACATGTGATTTACATGTGAATCAAATATGATTAATATGTGAATCACATGTGAATCATATGTGATTCATATGTGAATCATATGTGATTCACATGTGATTTATATATGAATCACATGATTCACATGTAATTTACATGTGAATTGCATGTGTCTACCATAGAGTGTTTGATCAACCAATGCATAATATATCTAAAGAAGTGCAAGCATCAAACATCAAACATGAATCATAATCTTCAAATTTGCAAAGTTTCATTAGAGGGAAAAAATATAATATGAGAAATCCAAATTCGACATGTTACTGCAATTCCATTGCAAAACACCATCCTTCTAGCTCCCATCATCGACTCCACAAGTTTCTCAAGAATGGAATTGCCAGTGGAATAATGTCTAGCAAATTTCTTCAAGACTTTGTAATCCCATCCATAATATCTAAAAGGGTAACAAGAAATCAACCAAATCCTTAAATAATATTGGTTACTGGTATACTATATAGTTTATAGTATATGCTCACTCAAAAAGCTTGGAAGGAGTTTCGGCCATATCAAAAGCCACTTTGGTACTTGAAAAATGTTGATAATCCTGCAAAAAATATATTCAAAATGAGAATTACAATAAAAATAGAACCAAAGATTGATTAATAAAGTCTTTAAAAAATGGTGCAACACATACTGTTCCTGAAAGGAAATAATGAAGAGCATGTCCAAATTCATGAACAAGGGTATCTACATCAGAGTGGTTAAGCCTCACAACTGATGAATTGTGTGGCTTTGAGAAGTTGCAAACAAGAGCATAGACCTTCACATTAATCAAGAAAAATATTTCGTCACTTTTTTATTATTCTCTTACAATATAACTATAAAAGCACCATTATACAACTCATGTTGCATCATAAACAACAAACAACAACTTAGTTATAACACAACATACTAGCAATAATATTCATTCTCACTTCGATACTTGCGATTTAATGTCAAAATTGCAAAGAAAAAGGAATTAAATGTCAAAATTGGTGTGCTATGTATTATGAAGTGATGTGTTAACTATGATTTTGATGAAGCTCCTACAATATATAAATATAGACATCAAACCTAACTTGACAAATTAGATTTGTAAGAAACATGAAGATCGATACATATCCAAGGCCCTAACGTTTTATTCAAGATCAAAATTGAGACTGATAAGAGTTTCAACTTTTTTCTAAACTTCCATTACAAAAAAACAACTCACATAAGAAAATGTCTCATCACTCAAAAAAAAGAACAATTTCACTTGACCTCAACTATGGAGAATCGGATTCCCAATCTGGAAATTCTACCTCTTTCGATAGGGAAAGACAACGGATATGATGGATCACAACTCAACTTCAACAACCACCAGAAGAGAATGAGTCCAGAGACAGAAACTCATATCTGACTTCAGAAAGGCGTATCAGAGTTCGAATTTCAGCATCAGGGCAACTGAGGTTGAGGATCCTGTAGCTAATGAATCATCAATAATGATCGTTGAAAGATATGATTGAACACTGAAAAATTATGTAGCCTGACTGCAGATTGTCGACGCGATGAAGTCGTTGTGATGATCGATTGTAGGGAAACTACAGAGGCGGCCTAATCAGGGTAATTGGAGGCAACATCGACTTCGCCAATTCCGTCGGAATTTAATCTCAATTAGAAGGCACGAAAAAGAGAGAGAGAAGGTGAGTAATCACTAAGGGTGTCAAATTATGACACGACACGACAAAAATACACAATACGAAATGAAATTGGGACGAAATCAAAATTCGAATTCATGTTCGTGTCGTGTTCGTGTCAAAATTAAAAAAACACGATCTCCTGTTCTGTCGTGTTCGTGTTCATAAATCGACAGGAAATTGACACGATTAATCATGTGGTTGTCGGGTTTTCCGTGTTTGTCATTTTTATCGTGTTATATATGTTTAAGTATGAATGAAATACATTAATAGTTATGTAATATTATCCTTGTCGTGTCGTGTCGTGTTGTAGTGTTTTAATTGGTTCGTTTTTGTGTTAATGAAAAAAAACACTACATCATGTTGTGTCGTGTTCGTGTTATACAAAACCTTGTCGTGCCGTGTCGTGTCAGAAAAAAAACATGACACGACTGCCCGATTTGACAACCCTAGTAGTCACTAATCATCAACATATACAGGTGGATATTGGTTTTGGAGAGAGGGAAGGAGATGCGATGTTATTCTTAGATTAGCTTTTAGGGATGATTTTTTTCTCATATATGAATAACACCCCTAGCTCAAAAAAGTTAGATACCCCAATGTCTTTTTTTCCCATTATTTACAAATCTGAACCGTTTATTTTTTTGATCTAATGGTCTAAATTTACTTCTCGGATTCTCGAAAAACTATAAGTTCTCAAATGATCATATATATATATATATATATATATATATATATATATATATATATATATATATATATATATATATATATGAACTTTAGAGTAAAATATAGTTTTGGTCTAGTGGGTTGTCACAAATTTGTCACACTTTGGTGTTAGTAGTGGGATCTGATTATAGATGGTCCCTATTCCACTATCTCCACTATCTGTTATCACCTTTTTAACTCCGGTTAAAATTTTGTTACTACTTGATTGTTATGAGTTTGAAGAAACTGGGGAAGAGGGGTTAAGGAAATGCTGATGGCTTCTTACTCATTCTTTATCCCTACTTCCTTTATATCCATCTTCAACCATCATCATTGATTTTCCTTTAGAATCACTATGGTCAATCATCATCATTGAATTTTTGTTTGGAATCCATTTATGATGAGATTTTCAGGGTTTAGGGTTTGACCAGGAATTTGGCATTTGGCATTACAGGAATTCGATTGTCGCAACTCTTCCATAAGCAAACTCAGATTTCATAGTAATTGAAATATTTGAACATTTTGTTGATCAGAAACCGAGGGAATTAGAATTTTAGTTCTTAATAAAATCGGATAGAATTGTGAATCGTTTATCCTTTTCAATATGTTAAATTGGTATGTATTTATTCATGAAAACGTAGAGTTCGAGCATATAGTTTCCTCTTTTGATAATTCATTTAATCTAAGTTTCTAAAATGACTTGGCGGCAATGTTACGCCTTAAGTTTTTTTGATCCATGGCGAACGACGTCGTATCTAAGGCGTGACTTATAGTGACAATTTTGTATATAATTACTAATTTTATATATGTTTTCTACTATTATTCATTTTTATATACATATATGACTTAGGTAACATTTTGTCAAAGTTCGGCGACAAATACAAGCCTTAGAGCCAAAGCGTGTCATGACGTCGAAGTCATGACGAACTTTTTAGAACCTTGCTTTTATCAATGATTTTTTGTTTTTTAAACAATCTTTGTACTTTATGATATATACTTTTTGGTCCCTGAGCTTAGTGTTTTTTCAACTTTATCCTCTTTAGAGTAAATTACATTTTTGGTCCCTAAGTTAGTGAGTTTAGTTGTTTTTTTTTTTTTTTTTTTCAGTTTTTGGTCCCAAAAGTAATCGTGTTGCAAGTTTGGTCCTTATTTACATGCTTCATAACGATTTTGGATTTGGTCCCCGATCATTAAGGCTAATAGCCAGTTATATAATTTACAAGATGATCATTTTACCATCAATTTGTCTTTTTATCATTATTTTGTCTTTTGTTATTATTATAGACTAAATTTCATGGTTTTTCCATATGCTTTAAAATTATTCCTTCAAAGGGCCCTTATGTTGGATTTTAGAACACCACTTGTTTGACTAACCCCGTTAACAAATTTCTGTTACATATTTGGGAAATGGCAAAAATACAATTTATTTTAATTTTTTTTATTCTTTGTATTGGTGAAATGACCAAAATACCATTTATTTTCATTTGTTATAGTATTATATTGGCCCACCTACCCTCTTTCACCTGCATTTGAAACCAACTTTTATGCAACTAACTCCTCTAGCAACAAATCCCTGGGGACAAAAATACCCAGCTAAAACTTAGTGATTCCCAACAATATTCTACAATAATACTCCTCATTCATCATTCATCATTCCATTACATTATGGATATTAAAATTTGGTATTTAAATATGTAGATATTGGAAAAAAGCACATTTTGTTAGAAGGGTGTTGATAGCAAGCCAATTTGAAATGACAAATCTCCCAAGAAAAACTTATTAAGAAGAGATGATTTGGAGCAATTTTCAACTTCATATTCATGACCAATGCAAATTACAATTTTCAGAAAGGGAATTACAGGCTAACCAAAATTAAGGAAACCTTGCATGCTGAAATGAAACCTGAATCCTACTTTGATGCAACTACTTTGACTGGTAAATAAAGATAAATGAAAGAAGATGAAGTCTTTGTGCACGTGAGCCATACTAAGTCTTCCTGAAAAAATGAAAGGAGATGAAGTATTCGTGCACATGAGCCATACTAAGTCTTCCAGACTAGTGCTTCAGTATTTATAATGTATAAATACTGTATTGGTAGCTTTATTTCCCTCTTGGGCCTTTCTAACATGTGATTTTTTGGGCTCCCTGTACTGGATCCTGTGTGTTGGGTTTATGACTGTATCAATTGCCCTCCCTTTAACAACGAGCTCTTCCTCGATCTCTAATGCATAACTATCTATCGAACAAAAATCAGAAAAAGATTTTGACGGTTCCAATTTCGATCCTTGTTTTGATTAAAATAATTTGACATGTTATGAGGGTTGCCCTCCCTTTAACAACGAGCTCATCCTCGAGCTCCCCGTACATGCCTATGTTCATGTTTATCCCAAATACTAAAATAATTTGACATGCTATGAGGGTTGCAATTTCGGTCCTTGTTTTGATGCTTCATAACGATTTTGGATTTCGTCCGGGGTCATTAAGGTTAACAGCCAGCCAGTTAAATTTACAGAATAATCATTTTACCCTTCCATTCCTTGTTTAATATTGCTTCATAGTTTTAGCTTCATCTTGAGGCTTGTTCTCTTGGATGGCTTCTTCTTCCACAAGTTGGAGTGATATTTGTTTGTGCCCATTCAGAAGCTTCCATTGTAGCCCAAACGGTGAAGTGGGAAGTAAAGGGACTGGCCGTATGATTTCACACATCAAAACACATCATTTACCTACTGAAGACTGTAAAAGTGTGTTACGTGAAGCTCTTTCTAGTGATGTTAGACTATTTATGGCAGTGGAAGAAACTTTGAAGGCCTTTGGTCAATGGATGTGTGGGAAGAGTATGACTTTGCAGGCTCTTAGCCGTTATTGTCATCACCCGGATGGTCATGTGAGGTTTGTTATAGGGGATGACGGCTCGAGTCATTATATTGTCTATATTCTAAAGCCGTCAAATAAAGAGTCGGTGACAAATGCTCTTGGAGGTTTGGTTTTTGATGTTGCACTCCTTGATCATATTTTTCAAGAGTCTATCACTACTATCAAGAGTATCCCCCATAGTTGTCATCTTGCTTTCTCTCAGGCTTTGAAGACCGCTCTTTACAAGGTGATTGCCCATCTTGGCTCGGTTGAGGCATGGATGTGTTTGTTACTACTTCCTCGATGCACACTGCAGGTGTTTAGACCCAAAAATAAACAAGAATATAGGTCTAGGAATAGAAAATTGTTACAGCAAAGCTCCATCCTGAAGTCCTTGGATACATGGGGGAAAGAGGGTGGTATCACGAAGTTAGTTCAAAATATGTTAGACAATCCGAAGGTTGGAGCTATGAGACAGGGTGGAGGCATCCTTCAGAAGGAGGCTACATCAAGTAACACCAACATCAGACAGTGTCTCCGTAAGGTTGCAGATGGTCCTTTTACCGCAGCAGTGAAAGTGTTATGCTCATCGGGTGTTGCACCATATAATGGTGATACTATTAAAGCTT